TAGTAGAGTGATTGTCCTTCGCCAGTGAGAGAATAGGGAGTTTAAGATAGGGCAGCTACGGTAGACTACTACGGTTGAACGCGGTTCGTGATCTGGGACGAGTTTTAATGTGCATGGCTGAATATTCATGCATGCAGTGGCTAGCCGTGAATCCGCTATCATTTTGGCTTCCTATTTCAGCCATGGCTTCGCCGAATGCAGAAAAAGAAAACTGGTGTTGTTTACCCATGAGTTTTTGGCAAATGAATACGTTTATCAGGTTAAATTCATGAGGAGAATGTATTGTATATCTTGCTACAATTTAACACGCTGTAATATCGCAATTTTTTAGTTCCACAAGTCCATGTAATGTTCCACGTGTGGAGTCGGATGTCACCGGTTCTCTTCGCAATAAGTAAGTAAAAACAATCAAAACTACTTTGTAATTCTTTCACAAGAGTTAATGCAGAGAGAGAATAGTCCATTAAAATGTTTTTCTTAGTTGGGGTTGATTGTCACATCACCTTATTTTTATTGCAACAAGTGATGTTCGCTCTAAAATATTTTTGTATTTATACTTTCAATCCCACGACACTTAGGAAACGAAGTAGGAAAATAATGTACTATTATTATTGTTATTGTTATTATAGGTATTACTATTATTATTATTATTGTTATAATTATTGTTGTTTGAATGCTATTAGATTAAAACCATGAAATATTTTGCTGGACTAACAACAACTAATTTGCATCTAACATGGAATAAACCAACCATGCACTCGCGACATCCTCACTGGAAAAAAAACTTATGTTGATAAACTTTTTCATTTYCTTCTTGTGTCGTTCTTTCTGTTCCTAATGTTATAATTCTATGCAGGAAATTCTGTTTTTGCGGCTCAATAAAGTTTTGTCTTTCTTGGCACTAATCAATTATGAGCAATATATTGAGAGAGGTGCTTTGCTAGAGTATTTTCCTTATATCCGTGAGACACTTTGTAAGAAATTGCACTAATTAGTTCTCGCTAATCTTTGTTCAATAAACAAAATTGCACTAAATTAAATTTGCGATTTTGTCAGCAAACTATTACACAGATGTAATGGAAGCCCTTTCTCTATTTCATGGGTACAATATATTTGCACTTAATCATTCGCTYATTATAACTTGGTATTCAATTATATTTAGGGCATGAATAAAATTGTATTTCTTCTTTTTTTTCATTTACAGTGGAACATTTAAATGGACAGAGGAACGAGATAGACTTCTTCTACGACAAATAGTATCCCTCGAGCCTTTTGCCTACAAAGCTGGGACTAAAGAAGCAGGTCTTAGGTGGACAGAAGTAGCAGAGATCAACCTAGAGATCAACGCAGTGTGAGGGAACGTTTCAACAAATTGTTGGCAGACTTCAAGAAAAAAAGCAGGAATGAAGAGTCTGCAAGCTAGTGGCATTGCTCCTGATGACCTAACAGAAAATGAGGTGATATTGGAAGAAATAGTCGAAGAAATGAAATCTCCGCTGATCCAAGTCTCAAGGGATGAAAAACATCAGGAAAAAAAGAGACAAAATGCCATATTCATTAGGAACAATGCAATGGAAACATGGTCTAAAACAAGAAAGAGTGGTAGTGAAGGTGGTGATTCGGGTTCAGAGGGGAACGGCCAAGTAGAGCAGGTGTTGACCAAAAGACGTAAAACAAGAATAGGAGGGTCAGAAGCACTGCAGTACTTGGCTGAAAAAACAGAARTAGAAACCTTTCTGCGAAAGCAAGATCTTGATTTTCGCAGAGAAGAAATGCGTCTTCAAGCAGAACAGCAAAAGGAACATTACAAATTG